CTGGGAATGTCGTGGGAATGTTCTCCCAAAGGGGGGAACCCACCCGAGCCCCCCCCAGGCCGGGGCTGCTGCTGCTGCTGAGACGGTTCAGGGAAAACAGCAGAGTTTTGTTTCCTTATTTTTTTTCCTTAAAAAAAACCTGCCTTGGTTTCTCCTTTTTATTTTGGGCACTTTTTAAAATGGGAGCTTTGGAATTCCCGTTTTGGAATTCCCATTTATGGGGGAGGAATGGTTTGAAACACTGCAGTGGTGAGCAGGGCTCAGGTTATTCTGCTCCACGAGGCTTCGGCTGAGGAGGCTGCATTGGGAATTTTCTTTAATCACACATTTAATCTGTGATTAAATGATTTGGGTTGGAAGGACCTTAAAATTCCAGTTCCACCTCCTGCCACGGGCAGGGACACTTTCTGTCAGGCCAGGTTGCTCCAAGCCCTGTCAAACCTGGAATGGTTTGGGTTGGAAGGGTCTTAAAATTCCAGTTCCACCTCCTACCATGGGCAGGGACACTTTCTATCAGACCAGGTTGCTCCAAGCCCTGTCAAACCTGGTATTTTCTTTAATCACACAATCATGGAATGGTTTGGGTTGAAAGGACCTTAAAATTCCAGTTCCACCTCCTGCCACAGGCAGGGACACTTTCTGTCAGACCAGGTTGCTCCAAGCCCTGTCAAACCTGGTATTTTCTTTAAAATAACCCCATTAACCCACTTTTATTTCCTATTTCCACGTCGTGCTGCACTTAAACACAGATGCTGCTCCTGTCCCAGGCCTCTCCCAGATTTTTCCTGAAAATAATGCATATGATTAATGGAATAATGATCCAAAAAGTGCTGGTTTAATAACACCAAAAATTTAGATCTGCATAGTCACTGCAAGATTTAATCATGGAATTCCCAGCATGTTTTGGGTTGGAAGGGACCTTAAAGATCCAGTGCCACCCCCTGCTGTGGGCAGGGACACCTCCCACTATCCCAGGTTGCTCCAAGTCTGGCCTTGGACACTTCCAGGGATCCAGGGGCATCCAAAATTTCTCTGGGCAACCTGTGCCAGGGCCTCTCCCTCCTCCTGGAGAGGGATTGGGGTTGTTTTGGAGCTCTGTGGTTCAAGGTAAAGCTCTGAGTGAAGCTCAGCTCTGCCCCTTTCCCTTCCTAGAGCAGATGAAGAGAGGAAAATCCTTCCCAACCGGGCTGGGAATGGAGCTGGAGGTTCTGGGACAGGTCTGGGGCTGTGCCAGCGATCCCTGACAGGGACCTGATCCCTTGTTAACATTCCAGAGCCAGCTCCAGCTCCAGGGATAACCTAAATGTGCACCAAGCATGGACTCCAGGCCAGGGAATTCTCAGATCTTGGAGCTGCTGCTCTTGAGGAATGTTTGGAGTCGTTTTATTTCTGTGTCCCAGGAAATCCAGAGCAGTTCTTTAATTACCTTCCGTTTTGGGGGCCTCTGTGCCCTTAAATTTTGGGGTCTGTCTCAGCCATGAGGGGCTCAGTCCCACCCCAGCCTGCAGAAGGGTTGATCCCATTCTACACAACCCATTATTTATGAGTTAAATATAAAACTATGGGTGGAATAAAAGCAAAATTATCCCTTGGAATGGCTGGGGCTGGATTTTTGGGGGGTATTGTTCTGCATGCAGATGCTGTTTGCATAAATGAGCTGCAGAGATCCACAACAGCTGAAACTTTGAAGGGCTGGAGAGATGAATCATTTCCATCTTTAAAAAGCAGCTAAATATATATTTATGTTGAAAAAGGCAAGGAGAAAAAGGACAGGCAGCAGCACGTGGGGTTGGGTGCTTTGCTGAGCACCTTTTGCTCCTTCACCTCGGGGCCACTTGTTAATTAGACCTGGGAACTGAAAATAGGGATAATTGTGCCCTGGGAGGAGGGATCTGGGCGTGCATGGAATGGGAAATTCAGCTGGGGTGTTGGAATGTTTAATTTGGGTGTCCTTGAGCTTCCTGGCTTTGGATTTGTGTTGGGGAAGGAGAGGAAAGCATGGAAAGGGAGTTTGGGGTTTATAAGAATTAATAACAACAACAACAACAATATAATAATAATTAGTAGTAGTAGTAGTAGTAAATAATAAATAATAATTTATTTTTCTACTATATATTTTATATAAATAATATATATTTATATACTGTACAATTAATGTTATGGATATATTAGTATTTATAACATAATGTAAAATATCTGTTAAAATATGATAGGTAGTAACATGATGTATAATATAATGTAATCATTACATATAATGTATAATATATAATATAATATATAGCATGTCTAATATGATGTATAATGTTCTATTATTGTCATATATATGTGTTATATATATAAAACATATATATATGTTATATATATTATGTAATATACATAAAATACATTATGTCATATGTTATGATATCTATTATATGTATATAATTTTTATATATATTTTTATATATATTTTAAATATATTACATAATAACTTTAAAGGGAGTTTATGATAAATTCAACCTCTTTAGCCACTGAAAACCCCCTTTTTTACCCCTTTTTTTTCCAGGCAGCAGAACAAGGGAGGCCTCCAGAGCACACCAGCAAGTTCTATGCCAAGGGGGCACTGCAGTATTTGGTCCCAATCCTCACACAGACCTTGACCAAGCAGGTGAGTTCAGAATTCCTGTGGGATCAGGGTGCTCCTGGCTGCCTTGGGAAGTGGGTTCTTGCTCCAGGTGGTGGCAGTTCCTGGGTCTGTGATGAGATTTCATGCACCACTCTGAGCAAATGATGCATCAGTTTTGGGGCTGAGACTGTGGAACTGCCTCCAGCAGCTTTTGCCCTGCTCTGTTCTGTTCACACATCCCTGCATTTGGGATTTCTGGAGAGGTTTGGTGATAATTCCCTGCATTTCCTAACGAAATATTGATGGAATGAAACCCGGTGTTGCACATTCTGAGCTCCAGCTCCTGGAATCTTTGAGCCTGGAGTGTTTATTTAGTGCCCATTAAACACTTCCCAGGGACTTGTTTGGGGCTGTGCTTCCCAGGCTAATCAAAACTAATGGAATTGCTGCAGCAGGTCTAATTAGAAAATAAAACTGTTAATTAAGCTGTGAGGGGACAGAGTTCATTTGGCTGGGAAAAATACTCTGAATGAATCCAGGGAATTGTTTCCCTGTTTGTTTTTTTATCTTGGAGTTGAATTGCAGGAGGTTCTCAAGTGCTTGTTAAACAAAACAGGTGAGAGGATCCCAGGCTGAGCTTTAAAAGGTTTAAGAGCCTGGGCTGTTTAACTGGAGCAGGAATTCTGCTTTGAACATCCTCTAAATTCAGGGAAAATCAGAAGGATTTCACCCATTTTTGGAAGTTTGTAGAACCAAAAATTACCTGGGTTATTTGGAGCAGGAATTCTGCTTTGGACATGCTTTAATTTAAGGAGAGTTAGAAGGACACCACCTAGTTTTGGAGGCTTGTAGGGCTGAAAATCCCTGGATTATTTGGAGCAGGAATTCTGCTTTGGACATGCTTTAATTTAAGGGAAAATCAGAAGGATTTCACCTGTTTTTGGAAGTTTGTAGAACCAAAAATTACCTGAATTATTTGGAGCAGGAGTTCTGCTTTGAACATGCTCTTAATTCAAGGAAAATCAGAAGGATTTCACCCATTTTTGGAGGTTTTTAGAACCAAAAATAACCTGGGTTATTTGGAGCAGGAATTCTGCTTTGAACATCCTCTAAATTCAGGGAAAATCAGAAGGATTTCACCCATTTTTGGAAGTTTTTAGAGCCAAAAATAACCTGGGTTATTTGGAGCAGGAATTCTGGTTTGCACATCCTTTAATTTAAGGAGAATTAGAAGGACATCACCTGGATTTGGAGGCTTGCAGAGCCAAAAATCCCTGGGTTAGTTAGAGCAGGAATTCTGGCTTGTGCATGCTCTTAATTTAAGGAAAATCAGAAGTATGTCACCTGGTTTTGGAGGTTTGTAGGGCTGAAAATCCCTGGGTTAATTGGAGCAGGAATTCTGCTTTGAACATCCTCTTAATTCAAGGAAAATCAGAAGGATGCCACCTGGTTTTGGAAGTTTGTAGAACCAAAAATTACCTGGATTATTTGGAGCAAGAATTCTGCTTTGAACATGCCTTAATTTAAGGAAAATCAGAAGGATGTCACCTGGTCTTGAAGGTTTGTAGGGCTAAAATTTCTGGATTATTTGGAGCAGGAATTGTACTTTGAACATGCTTTAATTTAAGGAGAATTAGAAGGATATCACCTGATTTTGGAGGCTTGCAGAGCCAAAAATCCCTGGATTATTTGGAGCAGGAATTCTGCTTTGAACATCCTCTTAATTCAAGGAAAATCAGAAGGATTTCACCCATTTTTGGAGGTTTGTAGAACCAGAAATTACCTGGATTATTTGGAGCAGGAATTCTGCTTTGAACATGCTTTAATTGAAGGAGAATTCCCTGGTTTTGGAGGCTCGTAGAGCCAAAAATCCCTCGGGATCACTCTGGGATGGATGATAACGGATCCAGGCGATAAAACCTCCGCCTGGATGAGAGGGAGAGGGAGTTGGGGAAGCAGGTGAGGCCACTCCAGGTGTGTCAGCAGAGCTTTACTCCAGGTTGGGAAGGTGCAGAGGGTGTGAGTAACCCCTCTGCCAGACTGGGAAGGATTTAAATCCAACACCGACCGCGGGTGAATCCCGCGGATCCCGAGGAACATTCCCGGCGCTTTTTTCAGGACGAGAACGACGACGACGACGACTGGAACCCCTGCAAGGCTGCTGGGGTGTGCCTGATGCTGCTGGCCACGTGCTGCGAGGACGACATCGTCCCCCACGTGCTGCCCTTCATCAAGGAGCACATCAAGAACCCCGACTGGAGGTACCGGGACGCGGCCGTGATGGCCTTTGGATGCATCCTGGAAGGGCCCGAGCCCAACCAGCTCAAACCTTTAGTAATACAGGTGAGTTTGGGGGGGTTTTGGAGGAATTGTTTCCCTGTTTGGTTTTTTTTTTATCTTGGAGTTAAGTTGCAGGAGGTTCTCGAGTGTTTGTTAAACAAAACCAGGTGAGAGAATCCCAGGCTGAGCTTTAAAGGGTTTGAGAGCCTGGGCTGTTTAACTGGAGCAGGAATTCTGCTTTGCACATCCTCTTAATTCAGGGGAAATCAGAAGGATTTCACCCCATTTTTGGAGGTTTGTAGAGCCAAAAATCCCTGGGTTATTTGGAGCAGAGAGGGGCATTTGCTCCTAAAGAGCATCTCTGCTCCTGCCT